ACTGGAATTTTTACTTTTTCGTAAAAAATTAGGTCTTTTTTAAAAAAATAAATAGAGTGGAAATTTTGGAGGAATTAAATAGCAGATGTTATATACTTGTAAGAAGTAATTCCTCTCTAATATTTCAACCACTTCCGGCTTTTTTGCATTTTTAGTACCTTGTGGTGAATTTCATTTTAAGGCACTTTTCCTATATGTGACGGCCGAAATTTCAGGCTTTTTTCAGGAATTTTTTTTTTCACTTAAAATAAAATATAATTCTATAACTTATTTTACATGTTATAATTGGTGTCTGAAAGTATCCAAAAAAAATTTTTTTAGTGATTTCAGACAATACTGAAAAAAGTTATCGTTGTCACCGTTCACCCGTGCATTTTCAAAGGAGTCACCTTTGACTCACAAAAATAATTATTAAATGATTTGAAAAATCACTAAAACAAATTTTTTTGTATACTTTTAGACACCAATTATAACATGTAAAATAAGTTATAGAATTATATTTTATTTTAAGTGGAAAAAAAATTGCTGAAAAAAGCCTGAAATTTCGGTCATCACATAGGAAAAGTGCCTTAAATCCATTATTTCCATACACATTGCTTTTTAGTTACAAAGTCTTATTAATTGTTCATTCTATAAATATGTGTGAATTGTTTCTAAAAACTTTGATTTCCTTTTTTTTTATCGGGGAAAGAAAAAATTAAATAGATATTGATTTTTACAATTTATAATTAAATTTTCTAATTAATTTGAATTCCTCGTTTATACTGTCTAATGGGATTTCGCCATTTCTAGGTTTCCAGACTTAAAGTGCGGGGTTTGATCGCAGAATACAATGTGTGAGGATTTTTTTTTTCTCAAATTGAATTCGATTTCAATGTGTGCTTTGCTTTTTCAATAGATATACCCAATATTATGATATTTTATATCTGTTTTTAGCTTGTTGCACCAACGACTTTAAAACATTCCTGAACAATATTTTTAGAACTTATTATCTCGAAACGATTATAGTCGTTTAAAAGCATAAATATTGTTGATGGTAGAGTCTAAGCCCTGAAGGTATTTACTAAAAAGTGAGAGTGGAATTCGAGGTGAGAAAGAGGATTAGAATATTTGAATTTATTAAACTTTTGTAATTTCATTTAGAGAAAAATTTTACTTTTAGCGAAAGTGATTTTAGAGGAAATGTGTTCTTTTCATAATTGTACTGTTTATATACTTTTAGAAATAGTTTGCTTTTGGAAAATTTAAAGTCTGTGCTATTTTTACAATTAGCAGTAACAATGGAGAAACCACTTTATGTTGTAGTCATACCACTATTGTTATGGATTTTAAAAATCTATTTAAATTCAAATAACCCTGAGGATTTTCTATGATTCATTAGAAGTAAAATTGAATTTCTATATTACAATAGAGATTTCACTTAAATTTTGAATGTTCTAATGAACAAAATCTATTTTTGTTTCTGCGTTTTTTGAAAATTACTATACAGAATTAAAATATTGTAAATTCAGCATTTATTTAGATAGGAATTAATTTTTTAATTGTATGAAAAGTGTTATTTTTTCTAATAAACAAATTAATGTTTTTAATACACAAAATAATGTTTTTAATATGCAAAATAATGTTTTTAATACAAAAAATGTTTTTGATACACAAAATAATGTGTTTGATACACAAAATAATGTGCTTGATACTCAAAATACTAGTTTTGATACACAAAATAATGTTTTTAATACACAAAATAATGTTTTTTTAATATAAAAAATACTGGTTTTTAATAAAATGCAAAAATTAAAAGCAGTAATAAAAATATCGACGTTCATTTGAACATTCAAAAATTTAGAGGCATAGAAAACAGAAATTTTTCTCTTTTTGATGAATACAAATATAGTTATTCAACGGAAAGAGAAACTTAATGTTAATTTCAAGGACGCGTGTGTGTGTGTCGATAAAACAAGTATATTCTTTAATTGATTTGAGATTTTTAATATATCTATTTTTCTTCACAAATGAATGCTTTGGTTTGTGGGTAAAATTTTCACGTTTACTTAACAAAATTTTCGTATTTACAAGGAAGTGTTTTTTCCCTTCTTGATAATCAGTTTTCTTTACTCCTCAAATTAATGATTCACGAGAAAAAATGATTCATAGTTTGAAGTTATGAGTAGTGTGGCTAATAGCGGATCAATGATCTATGTCTACACTTTGTCAAGGCACATTGGTTCGTAAATTGTTTGATTTGAATCAAATATTAGTGGGATTTATATTTAAATGAATTTGTATCTGAATGTTGGCAGTATTTATATTGAAGTTGTGGAAGTGTTTCTAGGATTATTGTATGAATGTTGTCAGTATTTATAGTTGCAGAAGTGTTGCCAGGATCATTGTTTAAATGTTGTCAGAATTTAGTCAAGTTGCAGCAGCATTAGCAAAAGTATTGTCTGAATGATGTTAGAATTTAGTCAAGTTGCAGCAGCATTAGCAAAATTATTGTCTAATAAAAAATGGAAAAGCTACAGCATTATTGTTAAAATTATTGTCTGAATGTTGTCAGTATTTATAGAAAAGTTTTGCAGCATCATTACTAAAATAATTATTATCCGAATGTTGTCAATATTTAGTCAAGTTGCAGCAGCAATATCCGAATTATTGTCAGTATTTAGTACAATTGCACCAGCTTTACTTAAATTAATGTTAATATTTAGTAAAGTTACAGCAGCATTACCAAAATTATTGTCAGTATTTAGTAAAGTTGCAGCAGAATTTTGATCAAAATAATTATCGTTTCAATGTTGTCAATATTTACCTAGTAAAGTTGAAGTATATCATTAGCAAAATTATTGTCTGAATGTTGTCAGTATTTAGTGCAGTTGCAGCAGTATTACCCAAGTCATTGTCAGTGTTTAGAAAAATTGTAACAGCATTACAAAAATTATTATCTGAATGTTGTCAGTATTTAGTGCAGTTGCAGCAGCATTACCAAAATTACAGCCTTAATCTTGACTAGTATTTATGCACCACTGTTAAATTTAGAAATAGTTTAAACAAAGTTGCAAACTTTTCTTTAAGTTAAAATGATAATTAAGGCCAAAGTTCTATTTATCCAGAGGTTAAGCATTATACTCTAGTCTTCAAACATCAAAATTACATTTTTTAGAGTACAATAGAACAACCTCAATAAATATTTATCCACATTAACAATAAATTAAACATTGCAATTTCTCTATTTATTTTCCAACGCTGAAAGAAATGATTATTGGACACTGACATAATTATAGGCACATGAATCAGCAACCTATAATGGTTTCTGTTAAATATAGATACTTTCATACGGCATTGATATTTAATGATATTATATATTCCTGACTATTGTTAATTATGAGAACAATGTCAATTTTGATACTGAAAATTCCCATTAATGTTATGAGAAAGTTTTTTTTTTATCATCCATCTACAAAATATGTATAATAGAATTGTGTCATGAAAATTCTAATCTTTACGGAAAAGTAGAAAAACCTATAATCTTTAACGTTTGAAAAAGAAATAGAGAAAAATACTCTGTAAATTTTTTAAATTACTCTATAATTGCCTGTAGGCAAGAAGTGTAATTGCTTTTTAAAAATGTGTTAATTCTTCTATCAATATAGGTAAACTGTTTTTATTAACTTAAGTTAACAGAATATTAACAAAAGTTCACTTTGTTAACTTTTTTCTGTAAATTTTTGAAGAAATTCCTTTTTTTGGAAATAGTAGATAGTTGAAAATTGAGTAGCACGTGTTTCGGAATAACGTGTACACACACGTCACTTTGAGTATCAAGTTTCTTTTAATATAATACAATGATTGCGTGAATTCCATTGGTTTAAATTTGAACTCCTTTGCTATGAATCATCTAGAGTTAATAATCTCATCCCACACAATTATTATTGTTACGATATGAATGTAGACGGTTTGTACGTATGGAATCTATAATATACATTTACAGATAAAGTGTATTTGATATAAAATACTAAAATTAGAAATTAGATCTAAAATGTTTGCAGAATAATGTTTGGATGACACACCCAGAAATTGGAAAATTTTTCCGAAATTCCTACGTGGGTCAGTTTATTATTGAAATTTCACCATTCACGTGAATATTCAGAACTAGCAGCTTGTATTTGTAAATAGTACGGGAATTAGAATAACACATGTGGATTTTTTTTCCAATGTTCCCAGAAAGTAAGCAGTTAAATTTGTTTGTTGAAATGGTAAAATTAGGTTTAATTTATACTGTTCTTTAAGCACTTCTTCTGGTATTTTTATTCTTTAAGACCATCTTGCATAAATTTTTCGTGCTGGAATAAAAGAAGTGTTGTTCTTCTTCTATAACATAATGCTTCTGATAGCAGTAAATTTGTGGCTAATTTTGTTACTACTTTTGCTATTAATAGTAGATTACTTTTGTTGATTCTTTTCTTAATTCTTTTGCTACTGATTTTGTTAATTCTTTTGCTACTAATTTTGTTAATTCTTTTGCTACTAATTTTGTCAATTCGTTTGCTACTAATTTCGTCAAATTTTTTTCGTTTCTTGAGGAGGAGTGCACAGGAGATAAAACGAGCAGGATAGAATCTTTTGGTTCACTCTCCATAGATTCTTTTCAAGATGAAAACAAGAAGTATATTTTTCACAATAAGACACGGCCATATCGATCGGTCTTAAAGTATTCAGAGTATGTACCTAACCTCAAAATCTCTCGCGAAAGGAATTAGTTGAGCGATACGCATCATATCCGGACATGGTGATGAGAATTCTTATTCCACCCACGCATCTTCCTTCACATACACAATGCACTTACACATTATGAGGACGCGCCCATTCGGCACTTCTGATTACGTGAATTTACGCGAATAGTTGTATTTGGCGCGCACTCAAAACGACGCATTCATGGGCAGACACAAACAGACACCTATATACATATATATATATAAAGACACACAATTACTAGTTACGCTCACCTGTTTCCTTTTGTCCTCTTCCCCTAGTTTCCTGGACTAAAGTCACTTCTCCTGTCACCTGTCTGGGCACATAAACTTTGTTAAAAAAACGTCACGTTAAACACGTTGACGAGGTTTGTCCTCGATTTTGAGCCAGAGCGTCGAACACATCGATAAAAAATAATTTTTTTTAGAGAGAAAATTCGGCTGCTCGACCGCGTGTTGCCGGATTGGCAAGAGAAACACTATAATAATGTTGGCACTAGTGCTTTTATTTAGTCAAGAGATGGAGAATATTTCGCCGGCTAAAAATTTTGATATTTACACTTGAAATACTTCTTATTTCTTATCTTCACGAGGAATTTTATTCCTCTTTGTCACGTGAGATAATGAAAATTTTTCTATTGATTAAACTCTCTGGGTTTAACTTTTTTTTTTCCGAGAAAAGAATATATATATATATATGGGAGGGAGGGGAATTTTTATTAAACACAAGTAACTGATTTCCCGACACGCGGTCGTGCTCGACTGACGTCCCCGCGTTTTTAGCGGCGATGGTCTATCGGCCGATTTTCGTACAGATCGTGTGCCCTCCTTCCCTGTTGTGTCGTGACCACGAAACTCGCTTGTCGCCTCGCCCCTCTTTCGTTTTTTCGCACGCGAGCGCACCAGCAACGTTCTCACACACCAACCATTCTTCGTTCCACGCACAAATGTAACGGTGCAAGAGAGAGAGAGAGAAGGATTCCTTTAAATTACTACGTTACTCGTCACACAGCTACAATCACAACCGATATTCACAGAGGAAAAAAAATAATGCCCGGTTTACAATTGTGCTTTGCCTCAAAACAAAAAAGAAAGAAAATAAATAAATCACAGGCGGAAATGCGAAACGAGGCGAGGAAACAGCTAGGTACGATGATAGGGACGACGTTGCCGTCGTTGACGACGACAATTGCACGCAAGTCGAGCAGCGTCGCCGCCGACATCGAATAGTTGCCAAACGACTCAAGTTGATCTGCCATCTGACGGCAGCCGGCGGCGACAGTCGACGCGAGGGTTACTGTAGGGCGTTAAATTTTCTGTTAAAGTTTCCAGTGATCAGTACATGAAGCAGATTTTTCTGGAATTTCTAGTCAATATATCTTGACTAGAAATTCCAGATTATTTTTATAAAAAAACGAGAAAAAATCGTACATTTTGACATTCCTTTGAGAGAAAAGTTTGGAACTATCGATTTTCCCCTATAAAAGTCGTCTGCTAGTTTGACTTGTTCTTGCATGTTTGCCCACCAATTCATTGTTTTCGTTTATTTACTTCAATGTTTACTTTACGAAAAAGAATAATTATTACGATTTTTTTTTAGAAAATTACAAATTAATTTTAGAAATCTCAAGCAAAATCCTGAATTGAAATAAATCGTGAATATTATGATACTCAAAAGAGTATCATAATATAAACATTAATTTTTATGATTAATATCAAAAGTGTTGAGACGACTCTAAATTTGAATTAGAAAAATTTTACAGATTGCTAAACGATGAATGTGCTGCTAATTTTTGAAAGTGTATAGACGCTAATTTATCAGTTTAATTTCGCTGAGGTTTTAGAGAAATTCCACTGATTTGGATGCGAAAAGTGTGCCACTTGTTGCAGATGTATTCGCTAATAAATCAGTGAAATTACGCTAATTTTGCTGCGAAATCACGCAGAGGAATTAGCGTAATTTTACTGATTACCGGGCGACTAGTGTGAGACTAATTTGAAAAAGCGTATACTAATGCTAATAAATCAGTGAAATTTTGGTGAGAAATTAGCAAAATTTCACTGATAGTCAATGATAAGTGTGTTCAATTCTAAAAAGCGTGAGAACGCTAATTAATCAGTGAAATTTTGGTGCAAAATTAGTGAAATTTTACTGATTCCCAACGATAAGATGTGTAAATTTTTCTAAGAAGCTTGTGAACGCTAATCAATTAGTAAAATTTTAGTGATGAATTAACAAAATTTCGATGATTATCAGCCAAAAATTGTGACACTAATTTTAAAAAGCGTGTGGACGCTAATTGATCAGTGAAATTTCGGTGAAAAATTAACGAAATTTTACTGATTCCCAACGATAAGATGTGTCAATTTTTCTAAAAAGCTTGTAGACGCTAATCAATTAGTGAAATTTTGGTGACGAATTAACAAAATTTCGATGATTATCAGCGAAAATTGTGACACTAATTTTAAAAAGTAGATGGACGCTAAAAAAAATCAGTGAAGTTTTTCAGAAGAATTAGCGAAATTTTACTGATTTACAACATATAATTGTGATACTTTTTTCAAATAGAGTATGGACGCTAATAAAACAGTTACATTTTACGGGAAAATTAGTAAAGTTTCACTGCAAATCAGTAATTTTTAACTGATTTAGAAGCAGAAAGTCAGTCACTGATTGTCAGTTAAAACTATTATTTTTAACTAATTCAAATTTAGAGATATAATGGCCAATTATCGTAGACAATTACTAATTCTTATAGAAAATCACTAATTCTTATCGAAAATTACTGATTTATAGGAAAAGTTACTGATTATGATAAAAGATTTTTTGGTTCTCATAGAAAATTACTGATTATTAGTAAAAATTGCTAATTATCTTAGAAAACTACTGATTCTTAGTAAACATTACTAATACTTATAGAAAATTACTAATTCGTAGTAAATATTAGTAACTCTCTTAGAAAATTACTGATTTATAATCAAAATTACTGATTATCGTAGAGAAATATTGATTTATAATCAAAATTACTTATTTTCGTAGAAGACTTTAAATTTTCATTAAAAAGAACTGATTAAAAGTAAAAATTACTAATTTATTTAGAAAATTACTGATTCGCAGCAAAAATTACTGATTCTTTTAGAAAATTAGTAATTTATAATAAAAATGACTTATTATTGTAGAAAATTACTGATTTATAGTAAAAATTACTGATTATCGTAGAAGATTACTGATTTATAGTAAAAATTACTACTCATCGTAGAAGATTACTGATTTATAGTTAATATTACTAATATTTAGTAAGAATTCTGTTTGTCGTAAAGAAATTACTATAATTATCATAAAAGAAAATTACTGATTTATAATAATAATTACTGATTATCGTAGAAAATTACTAATTCTCATAGGGAATAACTGACTTGTAGTAAAAATTACTGTTTATCGTTGAAGATTTTTCATTCTCATCAAAAATTCCTGATTAATATTGAAAACTGCTAATTATTATAGAAAATTACTGATTCTTAGTAAAGATAGTAATCTTAGTAATTAAAATAACTCTCGTAGAGAATTACTGATTAATAGTAAAATTTAAAAATTTCCGATTGTCATAGAAAATTACTTATTTGTAGTAAATATTACTAAATCTCATAAAAAGTTACTGATTATTAGTAGTAATTACTAATTATCTTAGGAAATTACTGAATTGTAGTAAAAATTACTAATTCTTACAGAAAATTTTCTGATTAATAGTAAAAATTAAAAATTACCGATTATTATAGTAAATTACAATAAAGCTATAATTATATTCTAGTAATCAATTATTTGAATCAGTTAAATTTCCTCCGTTGTGGTAAAAGTTGAAAAAAACAAGACAATGTTTATTTTAACGAACGCTAATTAAATAATACACCAATTAAAATTAATTTTAAATACAAAATTATTATCTTTCTACTCGAAAGAATAATCGCACCATGAAAAGAATATTGAATTTAAATCATTTCGCGAAATACCTTGCACGTGAAAGTGCTAAACACAGATACACATGTGTAAGCAATGACAACAAGGAAGTAGTAATGAAAGTAGTTGCATTGCAATTTCCTAAATTCTCAATTTTAATTCATATACTAAGTTGAAACAGAATTTTTTATTTTTAATAAATCCAAAATTCCAAACTAAATATATTTTTTTTTTTGGAATTTTGAAAATGGGACAATTTCCACTTGATCCAAAAAGAATTTTTGACGGCAAGCATAAAATTTGAAAATTAAAGATAATTTTTCTAAAATTGGGATTTTTATTATGACTGCTAAGTAAAATTGAATTAGAAATATTTTTGCAATAGGTGTCAAGGATGCACAGTCTCGATTGAAGATTAATTTTTTCTTCTCTCTGCAATATAACAGTAAAATCAGTCGAAGCATTTATTTAATTTTTTTTTTTTTTCAAATTTAAAAATTAACACTATTTTTGAAAATAGCTAATTGAATCTTAAAATAATTGCACTTATTGTGTGTATCTCCTCGATACATGATAGAGTGAAATCGTCGAGTCACGTTCATTTCTTACATCACATGTTATGCACGTTATGTATTTCACTTTTCTCCAGTTACCCTCCCGTTCATCGACTTGGAATTTTTAGTCACAACACACTTGACGGAAATTTCACTTCTATTTTCAATTTTTCCGGTTATAGAAATATTGTGTTTACCTACACTAATGTTGAAAATAATTTTCCATTAAAAAAAAATTTTTTTCCCTAAAAGAATACTTTTCAGATGTTATCTTTCTTTTTTAATTGAAAAACAAAAAGTATAGTTCTCAAAAAATATTTTATGAAAAGAATAGCAAATTCTTTGTAACATCTCAAATAGTAGAAAAATATTTGTTCTGTTTCTAATTAAAATTAAAAGTGAAAAAAAAATTCCGTTTCGGATATTTTTTTTTTATGGAGGAAGTATTTTGAACCTAGTCCTCTTTTTTTATTATTTCTCTCTCTTCTTTTTTTTAAATGAATGACTAAGCATTAATCGATTATGTAAACATCAATTTTCAAATGCGTCATTTCGAGCAAAATATTTAATCCACCTTAAATTATTCATATGGTCATCAGCATCATTATCATCATCATCATTCTTTTTCTCGTAATATACAAGTCTTGTTCCCTTGACCTCAAAAAAATTGAGACATAGACACCATTTCGAAGACGTAAAAAACCTGCTCATATTACGTGATACCTTTCCTCTCATCAGAAAAAAAAAAATTTATTCGGAGGGATAGTGTCACAACAAAAATTTTACAAAGAATAGGAGAAATGGATAATAATTTTTATTCGCACACATCTTTTTTTTAATATCATTTGCAGATGATATTAAGTCATCTACAGATGATATTAAATCATCTACAGATGATATTAAAAAAGAGATGTGTGAATAAAAATTAATCAAAATAGCATTACGCAATAAAACAATTAATTTTCAAGTTGTCATTTTTTACTCCTCTTTCTCTCTTTAATTTTTGCCTCCCCCCCCTTTCTCCCTTGATATTCAGGGAGGAAAAGTTAGTAAATTATTGACTTAAAAAATTATAGAGTGCTAATAAATATTTTTAGTCCTTTGAGATTCTTTTTCTTTCTATTAATTACAGCGTCTATTCAGAGAGATGGAAAAAAATAATTTGTGGTATGAGAGGGAAATATAGAATCTATTTGAAAATAAGAGAGTTGTTTCGATTCTTTAAAGAAAGATCATGTAAAGAAGTGAGATGTCGTCGTCAATGTAACATACAGCCTTGCAAAGGGTTATGCAAGTCATTGGTTAGACTCAACGGTCAGCAAAAGTGATCATACCAGTTTTATTTTAAATGACTATACGGATGCTGGCCGGACATGAGTCTGCTTCTCTTTCCCTCTTTCTTGCACACTTTCCCTTTCTCACGCCATTCCCCCCTCTACCCATTTCTTTTTCCTTTTTTTTAATACAAAAAAAAAAAAAAAATTCATTCCTAAAGACACGGCAATCGTAAGAAAAAATTTGGCAATCGCGAGTTATTTAATCTTTCCTGTCGATTAACAGATTTATTTAAAAATTATAATCATTAGAGTGATTGTAAATTTTTGTTTTAATTGGTAAAGACATGAAATTCGAATAAATATAATGAATTTAGA